CTCTCTCTCTACGTACTAATAATAATAATAATAATAATAATAATAATAATAATAATAATAATAATAATAACAACAATTCGAAATTCCGGTTTTGAATGCCTGGCAGGCGAGAAAGGTGAGGGGATGTTATTTATTTAATCAGGGAACGTACGTATTAATGGAACAATAGTCGCCCACGCGATTTAGCGCATGCGAGCACTCCTCGGAGAGAGAGCTCAGAAGCGGCGGTGAAGACTCGGAAGTCTTGCGGGAATAGTTGCGTTCCGCTAGGTGAAGATGCGACACCGCACGACGCGTAACGGAGCCCCTTCCCCGTGGGAATCACGCGTGTTGCCGTCGCAATTACGGCGCAAGCCGGTATCTCCTCGCGGGCGAATCACGCCTCCGGCTTCCGGTTTCGCGTACGCTGTGGCAATGGCGTCTCTCGATACATCGATAATACGACATTTCTCATACGACGCGATATGGACGCGCCACTTTACGCGAGAGAACATCTGCGCCTTTCGGTTGACGGTTTTGCGTACGCCGAGAATAGGTTCCCTTTATAGATTTAGCAATTCTACATTGAGAAAAAGGTTTCGTTTAGATTTCACACAATTCTATTCGTTTGACTTGAATTTATTCAATTTAAACAACACAATATTATATTAAACGTTATTTCGTTGAATTAAGAGTTTTGCTGTTTCGTTAGAGTATACCATGTAAAATTTAATTTAATAGAAATAAAATTTAAATAAATAAATAAATATAAAATTTAATAGAAAAGACACTATTATTTAAAGGAAATAAAATTTATCTTTGAACTAAACAATACTTTGTTTGGCTAGATTAAATATTGTTTCAATGAAAGAAAGAGAGATTTTGTAATATTATTGAGGCATGTAATAAAGAACGTTATTTTTTTTTTCAATCAATTTATTAAACAAATATTTTATGAGATAAAGCTATTTATTATTTGAAAAATCAAACGATTGAATTTGTTCAATTAATAATTGGTTTGTTTGGATTATTTCAAAAGATAAATTTCTTTGAATTTAATAAAATTTATTAAATCCAAAGAAATCATTCTCTTTGTGTATTCGTTTGGCTTGAATTTATTTAGTTTAAGAGACATAATTTGATATTAAGTATCATTTCGTTGTCTTATTAGAGATGACATATCATGATGTTTAATAGAAAAAATAATTATTTAAAGCTATTGTTTAAAGAAAATAACATTCATTTTTTAACTAAATAATACTTTATTTAGTTTAGATTAAATATCTCTTCGATGATAGAAAGAGATTTTTTAATATTGTTGAAAACCATAATAAAATATCGTTATTTTTTTCAAACAATTTATTAAACAAATATTTTATTTAAAATAAAGCTTTTTATTATTTTGAAAATCAAATCGAATTTGTTGAGTCAACAATTGGTTTGTTTGAAACTATTTAAAAAATAAATTTCTTTGAACTTGATAAAATTTATTAAATCCAAAGAATTTGTTTTCTCCGTGTAGGTGGACTTTGCTATGATATATGAATCGTTCAAAATTCAGAGTTTCTGTCAAAAACATAAATTATCGCGATGCATCTAAAGATTATAGTAAACCGAGCGACTTGGGACAAGATTGATCTTTTTTTAATTGAGATTTTACAACAATCAATTTTCTTCGTGTAATACGACATTTTAAAGACCAGCGCTATTTATATTTTCTGACGTCATGTTTTTCATTTAAATTTAAATTAAAAATTAAATTTAAAATTCAAACAAGTTTTATCAATTTGTGTTACAATTATGTTTTTATATTGTGAAGAAAATGACTTGAATAATAAATACATCTTCAGTATTTAATCGGTCATAAAATATTTCCAAGAAACTAAAATAAAGTATTTTCACCAAAATCAAACGCGCAAAAACGAGAACAATGAGCTTTCGACACGTTCGGATGTCGATTTAACATATCTTTTTTAAAAGTGAACAATATTTACAAATGTCGATGCATCTCGTGAAGATAACCGTTTGTCTGCGTGCAACCTACAGCAACAAATGAACCGAGCAGAACTGTCGTTTAATAATTTTCAAGGAGAAGATTTGAACGTGAGAGAATAAATCTCGAGCAAATACGAAAACTCCTTCTCGAGGAATAATTGCATTTGCAATTTCTCGCATAATTGCAATATTTTTTTCACTCCTGCGAGCGTCGTTCCCGAGGATTTTAGGAT